GTTGGAGTTAAAGAATTGAACACATAGGGGTACGTTGATATTTTCGCAATATTTACATAGTTGTGATTTCGGTTAAATCATGTGCTAAGACCATAAGTTGTGGTCAGCTAATCATACGCAAACAACGATGTTAGAATTCACACTAACATTTCACCATTGTTCAAGAGCAGAAGTGGATTGTGAAACGAGCGCAAATCATTGCTCTGCGAGATGAAGGCCTATCCATTAGAGCCATTGCTGGTCGCATGGCCATATCGGCAACAACCGTCAACAAGTGGATCAAGCGGCATCAGGAAACCGGATTACTTACAAGTTTATGTAAGTGAAGCTGTTGCATAAACTTAAGAAAAAAAAATCTGAAATTTTGTCTTTGTTATGCATAACAGTTACTCATGTCAGCCTTCATACAGATAGAAAACCTCGACCTCGTGTGACCTCTCGGGAGCAGGACGAGGCCATCGTACGAGCAGTCGAAGCAAATCCGTATACGAACGCCACAAGGTTAAGGCAAATGCTTCAGTTAAACGTAAGCCCAGAGACAGTCCGGAGACGTTTACAGGAGAGTGGAGTGTACCAGCTGATCCCTGCTAGGAAGGAACGACAGGCACAAGAGCGCAACGCAGAAAGACAGTCCTGCATCTATGAGCATGTCAGAGAGAATCCGAAATTGAAAAGTTTCGCAGATGAAGAAAATGTTCAACAAGAATCACAGGGAAATACAATTATGGACAAATGATTTAAGGTATGTAAATTGAATAATATAAGATATGTAAATCGATTGATATAAGGTATGTAAATTGAATGGTATAAGGTATGTAAATCGAATGATTTTACAATTTAATAATAAGCATTTCATACTCGCCATTTTATAACCCACAGATATGAACATGAACAACAAGGCCGGTGTGGACATGTGATAGAGAAACGGGGTGGATGGAGTAGCTCTGGAATAAAATTGAATCTATTTAACTTTTTTTTATTTTTCCATTTTAAAGAAGATAAATGTCATTCCAAATATCTTTCACATGGTACTCGCAATTTACTGAATCCAGTGTTATATACTAAATAGTATTTGTCATTATACACTTGTATAATACCAAATATACACATTAAAAGGGAAAATCAGCGATGAGATTAGTCTTAAGAGATGCCTAACTCTATCGCCAGGATCTAGAAAATAACAAATGCATGAGATTTGAGGTAATAAAGTAGCATTTGTTGAAACACGAACATCGATCTGGGATATGCTTGAAAGACCTATCGGAAATTCCTGATAAAATTTTCTCTGCAAACCTTGACTTAATCTGAAGGAATCACTATTTGTGACTTGAGCGTGTTCTCTGAACCTCATGCAAGTCGACGTAAAGGAACCCCTTATGAATTATGTAATTTGTCATTTCTGCATTCTGAGTCACATAATCAGGTGAAAAAACCTTTTGAATTACATCTATAGTCAAAGTGAAATGTGATGCACATCCTACCATTTTCAATCATTATGGTTCACACACAAAAATAACGGAAAATCGTATATTTCTAATAAAATATCATAGAAACGTATAGTCTGTAGAGAGTAGATGGTGGGTAATTGAGCTGTTTTGCATTTTTTTGTAAATACTATCTTTGCTGAGAGTGAAGTCATATTTTTTGGCTAAATTTTACATACATGGCAGCACAAGCGTGGCCTGGACGATGAATCAATGGCAGTATTGCTGGAAAATCTTCCGTCGGATTGTGGAGACACAGACATTGAAGATGACACAGATGATGAGGCTCCAGGTTCTAGGGACCATATCAGTAATGATCCACTGTCTCGTGCTCAAGAGGAACGCTGCACTGTTATCATGGAGGTGATGAGATGGCACCTGATACTGATGTAGGGACCCGGATATGGATGGAAGGCCTTCAGCACCGGAAGATGACCCAACCTCAGAAGTAAATAACGAGAACAAAGAACGTTGCAGATGGAGGAAGAAATCACAATCAGTGAGAGGGAGTTTCGACCGGAGCAGATTGACACAGTCTCGGCAACAAACCCAGCTGATGCCTTTCTTCATTTTTTTGATGCTGAACTGGTTTACTAGTTTCAAACGAACTTGTACTGGACTCAGAAAGGAAAATCTGGAAATATTTTGATAGAGGAAATGTATGTCTTTTTTGGAATATAACATTATGGCTACCATCGTCTACCATCACTACGCCACTACTGGATGAATGGAGATTGGTGTCTGTGCTATTCGAGAGGCGATGGCCCGTGACAGATTTCAGTATATTCTTAGCAACATCCATGTGAATGACAATGCTAAATTAGACAGGAAAGACAAGATATATAAAGTGAGACCACTTGTTGAAGCTCTGAATGAAAGATTTAGAAACAGAAGAGCAGCTAGTCAGCATCTTAGTGTGGACGAGTCAATAATATGCTTCAAAGGCAATAGCTGCCTGAAACAATATATGCCTATCAAATGGGGTTATAAACTATGGTACCTAAGTGATAATGACGGTTACATCAGCAAGTTTGAGATTTACACAGGCAAAAAAGATGAAACGGAAAAGGCAAGCAAACAAAAACTTACCTTGGGTGGACATATTGTCCTCACAATGTCTGATCATCTCTGTGGAAAAAAACACACTCTTTTTTTGACAACTACTTCTCATCAGTCCCCCTAATGGAAATATTGCAAGGACAACGCATTCTGGCATGTGGCAATATTAGACCAAACAGAAGAGACTTTCCTACTCTAGCCAATGACAAGTCACTAAAGAGAGGAGACTTTGACTTTAGGTCCACCCCCAGTGGAATAACAGCATACAAATGGATGGACAGCAAAGCAGTGCACTTTATTTCCAACTACCATGGAACCGAGATGAGGATAGTGCAGAGGAAAGAAAATGATGGAATGAAGGTGGTCGTTACCTGTCCACAAGTCGCGAAAGCCTACAATGACTAAATGGGAAGTGTCGACAAGTATGACATGCTTCGACAAATGTATGGCGTCAACAGAAAAGGCAAAACCTGGTGGCACAGAATATTTTATTGGCTTGTTTGACATGGCTATTATTAATGCCTATGTCATATACAAGGAAAACAATGCAGAAAGTGCAACAGTGTGAGGCTTCCGCAGGGACTTAGCGCAAGGCCTCCTCACACTAGGAAAAAGCAACACCTCCCCGGGAGCTCCTAAGCGGCGCAAATTTGCTTATTCTCTGCCTGCCTCTGTCAGATTCAACAATGCTGGTGTCCATTGGCCTCACTTGACTGAAAAGAAGGGAAGGTGCGAGGTGTGCTCCAAAAAGGGTGTTGAGTCCAGGCCGTGCTCAGTCTGCAGTCACTGTGGCATTCATCTATGCTGCAATGCCTCCAAGAATTGTTTCAGGGACTTTCATCTACAAGAGGATATCATTTATATAGTACTTCATAAAATCTGGTAATGTAATTGAGTATTATGGTGTTAGCCATATGATTATCAAGGACAGGGAAGGTTGTCAAGCTTGCAAAAATATATATATATACATATGGATGCTGCTATAAGGTGGATTTATTTTATTTTCCACATGAATAATGTTATTTCTACAAATATATTTTGTTTGTTTTGTTTTAGTGGAGTATTATGTTGAAGCTAATTGCTGATATTTACACTGATTTTATATGTATAATGCTAATTGCTGAAATTTACACGGATTTCTTATGTATAATGCATTATTACATGTCATATATATTATATATATATATATATATATATATATATTATATATATAGATATCATGAAAAATTTCTACTATGCCAGATTAATATGTCTCTACATGTAGGTTTTGAGAAAATAACCATTTTTTAAATTTCTTTTTTCATGCTTTTTTTTTTTTTTTTTTTTAATCATTGTCATTGAAATGCTCAAAAATGCCTGACGGAATCCAAAGATCCCATAGCTATTAAAGCTACCATGATACATTTTCGTCTTAACTTACCTAAGCTGTGTATATGCTATCAGTAGGTGAGAGTTACTAGCATATTAAAACGCAAAATATACTAACTTCATAGTTCGGGGCTAAAATAAACCAGCAACTGAAGATAAAGGCGAATCTTTGGTCAAAGATTTATTTGAAATTGATGTCAATTCCAGAGTTGACAGTTACATCAGTTCTGTTGCTCTAGTTAAAGGAAAACACTACTGTAAGATATATTTACATTCCTATTAATTTGAATTCCTACTATTATAACATTTTCTGTACGACCTAATATATCCTATTTTATTTAAGTCCACTGTAGCAAGGCTAAAAAAAAAAAAAAAAAAAAAAAAAAAAAATGAAGTGTTTCCCAGTACAACCTGTTCTACCACCTATTATGGCCTGCGCAACAACGTTTTTCAAGGCCTGTTGACATGAGATAAAACGGTACACTGCTTCCAAACTTTTCCACATTTTCAATGGCAAATAGTTGTCAGTGGATACATTTGCGAAATAAAAGCCAATCACGGTCTGCATTACAAACGTGTGCGTATGTGTGTGTGTTCATTAATGTTATGATCTCACACGCACGCACACGCACACACACACACACACCACACACACACACACACACACACACACACACACACACACACACACACACACACACACACACACACACACACACATACACACAACCTTCGCTGACCTCTTAAAGGTCCGATGGCAACCCAGGCTAGCTTAGGTTATTATTTAAGTGCAGGCGGACAAACGAGTGAAACAAGCGTGGCGTGGGTGACCCCCGCAGACATCACGGTGTGTGCACGGACCGCATCAAGTATGTATGCAGTATGCTATATACACAGACAAACAACAAACACACACGCACACAAACAAACAAACAAAACACACAAAACAAACACACTCATATAATATATATATATATATATATATATAATATTTATTTATTTATTTATTTATTTATGTATATTCCGTTGAGACCCAAATTTATCCTGATAATGCAACTTCTCTAGCGATTTTTGAACTTTCCGGGCCAGGAAGAGGAACTTGCCGCTCTTCATAGTGACGTCAGCGATGATAGGTTTAGAAAAATCTCCGAAGCCAACACAGCTGGCAGGAGCACAACACATATGCCGTGGAAACTGAGATCCTCAAGCTCTGGTAAATATGTTTTTCTTCGTATAGTTTGTGTTGAAGTTTTACTTGAAGTGTTTAAATGATGGTGTAAAATGATAAAAAAAAAAACAAGCAAAATAAAAGTGCGGGACTTGTCCGACTGGAATTCCGCCTACTTTTTTATTTTGTTAAAGACTTCGATATTTGTTGCTTATTGACGGCAATTCTAATGCTGATATGATAATTAAATTGTGTAATTAAAGTAATTAAAGTGCATGTTTCCGACAATATTGCCAAAGTTTGTTATCTATCATAGGGAAAAATAGATGCTGAATGCCATTTACCTTTACACCGACCATCCCTGTGACGCTCAGGTGTGAAAGGGTTAACTATGCCATTTAATAAAAAAAAAAAATTACTTTTGCAGGTGACAAACCATCAGCTGTCAGGAAGCATGATGACCCCACAAGTACATCCCAAGAGGCTGGTGATTCAACCTCCTCACCTGGTGGGATATCGCGCATGTTCCATTGTTTCAAATACCTGCCTTGAATTTGTGCCACTAATACTGTTATATGATGGTAACCTTATTTGAGGAACTTAAACCAACTAGCGATGCAAGTTGTCTTAAATATAATCCTTTTGTAGGTGGTGCACCTTCATCAAGAAGCTACAGTAGTGGGCCAGGCTCATCTACATCTCGACAAGCTGGTGCTGCAGGTAGAAGAGGTGAGGCATTACATTTTATAATGTATCAGTATAATCATATTTATATCACTCTACTTAATGCTATCATTTTCCAACGTTTTATAATGTATCAGTATGAATATATTTCTATCATTCTCCTTAATGCTATCATTTTCCAATCCTTTTCAAGACAAAACACAAGACACTGTTACTACTTTACCCTAATCAGCTTACTAGAACAGAACGCTTGTCTCATAGCATATCTGCACTATTATATTGGTACAGGGAGTAACTGCTCCCATACAGGAGGTGGTAAATCACAATGCATAAGTACTTCATTGCAATGATTTTGAGGTTTTCACTCTGAGACTGTTGCAGTCTTACTTGATTGATCTATGTGTATATTAACACATCACTTGTAGAAACAGTGGATTAGAGCAGTCAGTAAGTAGGATGAGAATGGTACTATCTTGTTTTTCGTGGGATAAAATACATAATGCAGATGTTTCAGACCTTATTTTCCAATGGGAAACATATGTATTGAACGCATTATTTACAGGCTGTCAGACTCAGTCTTTTCTGGATCTCCTTGACGAAAGTGACTTCAGTGAGAGTGACGATGACTGGCTACCCGAGGCAGTGACGTCAGCTGGGAGACTAATTGGAGTTGAAGAAGCTGTCACTTCTTCGGATTCGGATTCTGAAGAGGATCTCCAGGAGACATCTGTATCTTCTGCTAGGGAGCCAAGAAGATTGTTTTACCTACGAAATAAATCTTTCGTAGACCATGCTCCTCAGAATGCAGCAGAAAATTTGGGATCTTGTAACCTGTTGAAGCCAATTGAGTATTTCCTGTCTTATGTTAGTGAAGATTTTTTGGAAGATATTGCAATGTATACAAATATGAAATCAACTGAAACCACAGGAACATGCATCAACACAAACAGCAAAGAAATTGCCGCTTTCATAGGAATGACATTTGCTATGTCAATCATAAAGATGCCAAGGATTAGAATGTATTGGCAGTCAAAAACTAGGATCCCTTGGATTGCTGATAAGATGACAAGAGACAGATTTTTCCGTCTCAGACATTCACTAAAGGTTATTGATGATAACACTGTATTGGAAGACGAAAGAAAAGTTGACAGGTTGTGGAAAGTAAGACCTTTGTTGGAAGCAGTGCGGACTCGTTGCAGCAAGTTGCCAAGGCCACCTAAGGTCAGTATAGATGAGAGCATGATTCCTTTTCGAGGTAGGATCAGCATCAGACATGTCCCAGGCAAACCTTTCCCAGACGGGTTAAAAATGTTTGTGCTAGCTTCCCCAAGTGGAATGATACTAGATTTTGAAATTTTCCAAACTAAAAAAGCATTGCTATCCATTGTTGAAAATTTGAATGTTAAACCTAACAGAACCATCACAACTGGTGAAGCAGCAGTATTAAGGTTTGTCCGCAGTGTGGATGCTGGCACAAGTATCTTTTTCGATAGATATTTTACAAGCTCCAACTTGCTGTGTGATCTGTATGACAGAGGACTTCGAGGAACAGGCATTATTAAGAAAAACATGGTACCCAAAGAGGCTAAGCAGA